TGGTAGGGGGTGGTGATGATAATGCACAGGGCGCATATGACAGATTATCTTAATAGTTTTCGACAAGAAAACTCCAGACAGATTGATGAAGATTACATTTCTGGTGAAGATCAAAACCCCAATTATATCAGGTATTAAATCACGGTTCGTATCACAGGCATTAGCAGAAGTGATGTCAAATTGTGGCTGTGGTTTTCTTTTTAAGAAAAGGAAAAAATAAAACTGTCCCTCTTTGCAGAAGACATAGTGTCTTCGTCCACTGGGGAGTAAGACTGGGCAGCTTATGAACAACAGAAACTTAGTTCTGGAGGATGAAGTCTGAAAGCAGTGTGTCAATGTGTTCAGGTGAAAGCTATCTTCCAGGCTGTAGATTTCTCTTTGTATCCTCACATGGTGCAAGGCTCTCTGAGATCTATGGCATTTCTTTTATGAGAGCATGAACCCCAATTTTCACATCTATATTCACAACATGGCCTATAATCTCCCATACACCTTACCTTTGTAGCACTATTTATGAAATTTGAGGTATTAAAGCTATACAGAAATCAAAAAGTAAATTGAAGTCCTTTTCATCCTAAGGATCTGGACTAATTTAAATAATTTGTTTGAAAATAATAACAGGTGGCATGTATTGAATGTTTTATTAACTGTAAACACATTAAATGTACTAACTCATGTAAGTAATAATTGAATTGTGAATCCATCTTGTTATGGTGGTTTTTCAATAGATCTTTACTTAACTTTCCAATTTCTTCTGTTAACTGCTTCAAGTTATCCATTTTGGGGAGCGGTCAATTTGGTTGATTTGTATTTTGATAGAAAATCATCCATTTCCTGGTCTCAGGTTTGGTTACCTGCCTGTGGATTCTCATTATGCTTTTAAACTCACACGTTTCCTTCTTCCTTCCTGATCTCAATTAAGTTGCTCTCCACTTATTTCCTTAACTCAGTGATTTTCAACCCTTTTATTTATTTTTTTAATTTAATATCTTTTTTTAAAAACTTTATTGTTGAATGTAAAATGTATTACAGATGTTCCACATTTTTCCCCCACTGACCCCCTCCTCCTCACTCCCACCCCCCTCCCGCCTTTTCCCACACTATTGTCTGTGTCCATTGGTTATGCATATAAGTTCTTTGGTTTATTTCTTCCCACCCCCCCAACCCCTTTCCCTTTGAGGTTTGTCAGTCTAGCAATGAATTTGTACTTCTTAATCCCTACACCTTTTTCACCCATTCCCCCAACCCCCCTCCCATCTGGCAACCAACAAAATGTTCTCTGTGTCTATGAGAACCTTTCTGTTCTACCTGTTCACTTTGTTTGTAGATTCCATTGTTGATAGATATGTATTCATTGCCATTTTGTTTGTTCATATATTTTATCTTTTTCTTCAAAAAGACCCTTCACATTTCATATACTAACTGTCTGGTGGTAATGTCTGTTTCCTTCACCAAGTTAGGAAAGTTTTCTGCCATTATTGTTTCAAAAGGTTTTCAATTTCTTGTTCTCCCTCTTCTCCTTCTGGCACCCCCAAGATGTGAATGTTGGCACCCTTGAAGTTGTCCCAGAGGCTCCTTACACTATCCTCAATTTTTGGATTCTTTTTTCTTTCTGCTGTTCTGACTGGGCGTTTTTTGCTTCCTTATATTCCAAATCGATGGTTTGCTTCTTGGATTTACGTACTCTACTATTGAATCTGTGTAAATTATTCTTATTTCAGTTAATGCCTCCTTCAATTCTGACTGTGCATCCATAATTTCTGACTGGTCCTTTTTTATGCTCTTGAGGCCCTCACTGAGTTCATTGAGTATCCTTATAAGCAGTATTTTGAACTCAATATCTGTTAGGTTGCTTATCTCTATTTCGCTTAGTTCTTTTCTTGGGGTTTTGTTCTGTTCTTTCATTTGGGACCTGTTTCTTTGTCTCCTCATTTTGGCTGCCTCCCTGTGTTTGTTTCTATGTATTACTTAACAAGCAGTATGGGGCTAGCTGAAACCAGATGCTGCTCATTTGAAAGAATTTAGGAAAAACCTGAAGCAGGATCCAAGACAGGCCAATCCTATGGTTAAACAAGTGGCAACAGCTTGGGTGGGCCTGAAAGTTGGGTGGGGCGGGGCCTCAGGGAGTCACCAGGGCGGGGCTACCAGTGTGAGCCAGGTTGCTGGAGTCCCAGATATGGCGACTGTCTGCCGCCCCAGGGAAGGGCTCACCAAAGGAACAAAGGCCTCTGACAGCACGTTTGTCCCGGAGAAAGCCCCCTCTCCAGCCCTCGCTCCAGTGCCACACAGCTCAGTTCTTCCCTGTGTGTCTCTGGTGCCCCTGGAGCTGCCTCCCCTCCAAGCTTAGAGGGAGAGAGTCCGGTAAGTCTGTGCGCGGGCCCTTTAAGGAGCTGCCTGGGGCTCCAGCCGCTTCAGCTTCCCTGAGCCTCAGTTCCTGCTGGTTTTTCCAGCCAGAAGTTATGGGGACTTCTCTTCCTGGCACTGGAACCCTGAGCGAAGCACCTGGTTTGGGACAGGGACCCGTCAGTCCTCAGGAATGACCTTCCTAGCCGAGGTGTCCTCCTGATTTTTATCCGCCACACGTGGGTGAGGGACCAGCCTCGCTCCTCCGCCCCTCCTACCAATCTGGATGTGGCTGCTGCTTTAATTCTATAGTTGTAGGACTTCCATTCAGCTTGATTTCAGGCGGTTTTGAATGATGGTTGTTCTGTAGTTTAGTTGTAACTTTGATGTGGTTGTGGGAGGACGCGATACTGCGTTTACCTACCCGCCATCTTGACCGGAAGTCCGATTTTCAACCCTTTTAATCTCATGACACACCTAAACTAATTACTAAAATTCTGCAGCACACCAAAAAATATATTATATTTTTTGCAGATCTGAAAAAAAATGTAATTCTGATTCATTCACACTGGATAGTTATTGTTGTATTGGGTGTTGCAATATTTTTATTTTACAGTTTAAGGGAAAAGAGGTCTGTGCCCCTGACTAATCAGGTACCGCATGTTTTAAAAATTCTTGTGGCACACCGGTTGAAAATCACTGCCTTAACTAGATACAAAAGGAGTTTATCTTCACAAAGACCAAGTTTATGGATTTACTTTCCCTTTTTTTTTTTGTTTTCTATTTCTTTAGTTTTAATGTTTACATTAAACTTTCTTTTGGTTTGTTATTTTTCTGATTCCTTTAAGATGTGAACTAAGTTCCTGCACTAATCACAAAGTTTTTACCTCTTATATCTAAATCTTTCCTTTAAACCCAACTTGTGATATTAACAGTCAAATGGAACACATGAACTCTAAATGGATCCTGAATCAGAATCAACCAGTTAATTAAATAAATAAATATACCATAAAATAGTTTTTTAGTAATAAGGAAAATTTTATATGGTTATATATTAGATGACATTATTTGAACTGCTGTTTATTTTATGAGTGATGACAGTATTGTGGCTATGTGGGAGATTGTCCTTATTTTTAGGAAGTGCAAACTAAATTGTTTAGGCACGAAATGTTATGACTTCTACAACTTATTTTTAAATGAATTATGGCTGAACTGTATTTCCCCCACCACAAAATTCATGCCGACGCTCTAACCTTAGTACCTCAGAAGGTGACTGTTTTGGAAATACACACTTTAGAGGTAATTAAACTAAAATGACACATTATGGTGGGTCCTAATCCAATCTGACTGGTGTCCTTATAAGAGATTGGGACACAGGGAGAGATACCAGGGGTGCACAAACATAGAAGGACCACCATATGAAGAGGAAGTAAGAAGATGGCTGTCTGCAAGCCAAAGAGAGAGGCTTCAAAAGAAAGCAGCCATGCAAGGACCTTAATCTTGAACTTCTAAAAACTGTGAGAAAGTAAATGTCTGTTGTTTAAGCCAGCCAGTCTGTGGTATTTTGCTACAGCAGTCCTAGCAAACTAGTACTAATGGCTCTCAGGAAAAAAAAGATAAATATATAAAGACAGAAAGCAAAAATGGAAAATGTTAACACTGCTGAATCTAGGTGGAGGGTATATGGACGTCCATTATATTATCCTTTCAACTTTCATGTAAGTCTGAAGTTTTTCTAGATTAAAAAGTTTCAGTGGGAAATTTCACCAAGAAATATGTGTGTGCGCGTGTGTGTATAAAAATTAGTTTGGTAGGGCTGCCACAGACTATCTGGCTTAAACATCAGAAGTGTATTTCTCACAGTTCTGGAGGCTAGAAGTTATAACATCAAATGAAATTGTCCTTTTTTGGTGATACCTGCCCTATAGCATTCTATTAGAGATGAAAAAATCCTTTCAAGATTTCTGGTTAACTATGTACTACTTGTACTACTGCCTCTGGTAATCTCTTATTTATGCTACCACCTTTGCAAAGAGAGCTACAAGTCAGTCTTTGGCAACTAACAAAAAATTGTTTTAGTAAAAAATCATCAACGGATGCTAAAATAAGTATTGGCAGAGCAGACTCATCTAGAAAAAAAACTAGCATGTTATTTATTGATTAGTCAGCATCCCAAAACTTTAGGGTTTATATATAATAATAATCAAATTATATATACCTACATAAAATAAACCACATTATTAATATATCTGTGAAAAGAGGCTATTATCACCTAACATTAATAAGAATGTAGAAGAATTCAGTGAAATAAAGTGTTCTAAGCAACTAACATGATGTCTAGTAGAGTAAGCACTTAATAAACAGTGGGTATCAGTAGTACTACATTAAATTCCAAATGAGAGATGTGATTCTGCTTCAAATTGGCATTGCTGATATCCTGTATCTTGAGTAGCAGTTTAAGAAAATCACGGTAATTCTATGAGTAATACACTTCATCCTTAAATATACCAAAAGAACCAATCATTACAAGTAAATCAATCTATCTACACAGTTGAACTTTATATAAATACACAGAAAAATAATCATTCTTCAGGTAACAAATCACCAAAGGAATAACAAAAAAATTCTGAAGTGAAAATAAAAAGTTTTTAACTTACTGACTGACTACATCCGATGCCTTCTTAGAGCCATCATCTGCCTCCTCTTCCATATCCGAGTCCCCGCCATTGTCACCTTACACATGACACATGATTGAAAGCATGCTTATAAAATGTCATAAGAAGTTAATTTTAATCACTGCATAAAAAGTGTCACCTTTAAACATGATGCAGATTAAAGAATTTTATAAATTCATAGGTAACTAAGAGCAATGAGAACATAAAGCAGAAAATAAGAAATTATCGTAGAAGTCTTTGCTTTCCCAAAAATTAATTTTGTAAAATTTTGGCTAAACATTTTAAATTTCATTTTATTCTCGTGTACAAACTTAGGCTCTTACCTACACTCCTGAGATGGAAAAACCATATATACATCAAAAAGTCCATTCTTGAAGTGCTATTCTGATATATAAACTATATTTCTCTGTACAGTAAAAGTACTTTTCAAATTAAATATTCATAAGAAAAATAATACATCAGGATTTATTCTCAATATAGTATCAATTAAAAAGTTATCAAAATGTAGATATATGTATTCTTACCCTCAAGAATCTTCAAGATGTTTTTTTCAGACAGGAGCTCTAACTGTTCTTGGCATAGTTTTTTAATTTCTTCTATTGAACAGTTCTAAGGAAAATGACATTTTAAAAAAATGCATCTATGTAATATAGTGCCAATGTAAACTAGAAAACAACAATCACACAAAAAGTCCCATTACCTAAATCTTACAGTAAAACGAATTAAAAGCCACATACATCTATTCATGGGATGAAATCTTGAAAAACTGTCAGTTAACAAGTAAACATTAAAATTAATAAGTCTTGATGAGAATTTATAGTCATGTTTATCATGAAAGAACAAACTAAAGAGTAAGTCAGGAGCCCAGACATTCTCAATAGCATCTTTATGTTAGGTAGTTCCTCTAAAGGTTTAAATATTTAAGTCCTGATTTTAGGCCTAACTTGTACAAGCCCTATTTAAACAACTCTAAAATTAGAACACCATTTATTTCCCTGAATAATTTTCAGAAATAAATATGTAAAAACATTTGTAAATTTAATAAAATATAAGCCACTGCCAAACGTTGTTGTTGTTTTTAAATCCTCACCTGAGGACTTTTTACATTGATTTTTACAGAGACTAGAAGGGAGGGAGGGAGAGAGACACTAATATGAGAGAGATACATTGACTGGGCTTGCCTCCTGCACGACCCCATTCAGGGTCAGGGATCAAACATGCAACCCAGGAACATGACCCTGTCAATGGAACCCGAGACCCCTGACACTCTAATCGCTGAGCCAAACAGCAGCAGACCAAACACTGTTGTTCATTGTTACACAGCAGTATATTATTTCTTAAAGTATCAGAAAGAATCATTATACCTCTAATTTCATTACTAACACTGCCTGCATTTAACAGAATTATTCCAGGTCAATGAATTTCTTACCTAAGCACAGTAAATTCCTCCATTTTTTTTCTTGGCAAAATTTTCATATACAAAGCCATTTATGGTTCTCCAAATCCCTTTTTATATGTTAAGTAGCTTGTTTTAGTTGAAAACACCCCATTATAATTTGCATTAAGTAAACTGACTACTACAAAAAAAAGATTTTGAATATTTCTACCTATGTGTATAGTCTGATAATGTATGGAATGACGTACCTTTAACACATCGGGAAGCATTTTCTGCAACTTCTTCTCTCCTATGATACAGAAACACTGCTGAAGCATTTCTTTTTTGTCTGATATATAGAAACTAACTGGTTTTAATGACACAGTTAGGTCTAGACCACCTTCTTCAAGGTCACTGTGCTCTGCCAAGAATAATTCTTTTTCCAAAGTTGGTAAAAGATACTTGGTTTCCTAAAATTAAAGGAGATAAAGAACTATTAAATAATATTACTTAAAGTATTTGAGATATGTCTATAATGCCATACATTTTCATTTAATAAATTCTTCTTTATTAAATATTTCCAAATTCTTGGTTTACATAGATTATCTGAAACTATAAGAAAGAATATGTAATTGCTGAGACTTCTTTGAACTTACTCTCCACACCTCAATTAACTCATTAAGTTTCTATTACATGAAGAGATAATACCTTAGGATACATAAATGAAAATATATTAAATATTTAATAATTTCCTACAATTTTAGTCTTCTGAAGAATTACAATATTCCTCCAGTTGGCCATTCGCCCAAAAGTTTATGTATGTCTTGTCATTATTCTTAAATTCACATAAAAAATGCGGTAGCAGCAAAAATATTACAAATCACAAAGATTATGTAGTAGTGTATTACTGATTACCGGGAGCTATGAGTACTTTTAAAACTGTTACATAATTTAATCATAGTCAAAAGAAGTCAGTTAATTTGAGACATTTATGTCAATTTTATCACCTATCTCCCAGATCTATCCAGTCTCTCTAAATCTACTGCCATAATCCTGGTCCAAAGTACCTTTTGCCTGGATTACTTCAATAGCCACTTAAGTATACTTGCTGAAACAGAGGTCTCTCTAATCTGTTTTATATACTGTTACCAGAATGGCTTTTATAAAATGTACATAATATTTATCTTTCCTATTTGTAACTTTTGAATGACTTCCCACTACTTTTGGCCATTCATGCTCATTCTTTGTGTTTTAAATACAACAACCTTCTTTGAATTACTCAAATATAACCTGTTCTACCTTCACCTCTTACAGGCAGGACTTTTGTACATACTGTTCTTCTGCCTAGAAGAGTCTCCCCTCTTCTCCCATTTCCCGTACCACACATACTATCTTCCCAAGATTAACAAGTTCAGATATCAGTTCAAAGTCATTTTCTCTGAAAAATCCAAACAATACAGCTCAGGTAGACTTCTTTGGTATATTTTCCAATGAATTTGCTTAAAAAGCAGTTTTTTAAAAATGCAAATTTTAAAGGATACTATAATTAGACTGAAAAAGTAAAGAAGGTCAACTCTTGTTCTAATGGCTCTCAAAGTAATTCAAATGCTAGTAAGAATGTAGAGAAACCAGAACTCTCACATACTGCTAGTAGTAGTGTAAAATGGTGCAGCCACTTTGGAAAAAAATTTGGCAGTTCCTCAAGAAGTTACTGTACGACCATAAATTCCTTTCCTAGATATATATCCAAGATAAAATGTAACCATGTCTTCACAAAAACCTGTACACAAATGTTCATAGCAGCATTATTCATAATAGCCTAAAGGTGGAAGCAATCCAAATGTCCACCAAGTGACTAATGGAAAAACCAAATGTGGTATTATTCAGCCATAAAAAGGAAGTTATTGATAAGTTACAACATGAATAAACTTTGAAAAAACATACTAAGAGAAAGAAGCCAGTCACAAAAGACCACATACCATATATATATTTCTATTCATATAAAATGTCCAGAACAGGGAAATAAATAAATCCATAGAGATAGGAAGTAGATTAGTGGTTGCCTAGGAAGGGAACAAGGTGAAGGTGCATCTTAGGAATAGCTTAAAATACACATAGAGTTATTTTTTTGTGGGGAGGGTAATGAAAATATTATCAAATTGACTGTAGTAATAGTTACGGTCATATATATATATTCAAAACAACTCTGAATATATTCAAAACAACTGAACTGTATACTTGAAATGCGTAGATTGTATGGTATGTGAATATTTCTATAAAGCTATTACAAATGAATAAATAAATAAATAAATAAATAGGAACTCAATACACAACAAGTACAATGGCACGCTTGGAATTCTGAGATGTTATCTACATGCCTAACACATAATTTTTTCCCACTACAAATACACTTACTTCTCACTAGAAATAGGGTTTAGTTCTGCATGCAAATGTTTACAACTTAGCATTATTGATCTAAATATCATGAGACAGAGTACTAAAGATATAAAAACTACTTAAGATAAAAATGGTGATATCCAAAATTGAATAATCTATAACTATTAAAGAATTTTTTGGGGGAAAAAAGAGTTAAGAGAAAAAAAAACCTAACAGACTCAGACAAACGTTTACTGTATGGTTCAATGGTCAAGTTCAGACAAATCTTAGGGAAAAAGATGCAAACTTTTCTAGAATATACCCCAAAAAAGTGAGCAAAAGTTCCCAACTCAATCCATGAGGCTAGCAGAATCCTTACAACAAAACTAGAGAAGAAACCTACAAAAATAAAACCCACAGGCTGCTTTATCTTTGGAACATAGACTGAATTAAAAGTAAAAGTACTGAATTCCAACAGAGTACAACCAAATCAACCAAACCAAGTAGGATCTATCTCAGGATTGCAATGACAGTTCAATATTAGTTAATTTATCAATAAAATTATATTATCTCACTACTAGAAGAAAACTGTGTGATATCTCAACAGAATGCCATAAAAGCACCTGATAAAACTCAACAATACTCATGGAACTAGGAACTGGAAAAAAAAGTTCTTAACCTGATCAGAAGTATCTTCCGAAATCTATGGCAAATAAACTATTTTTTTTTTCTTTACTGATTTTAGAAAGAGGAAGGAAGAGGGAAAACAATAAAAACATTGATGAAAGAACACTGACTGGCCACCTCCTGCATGCCCCCCACTGGGGATTTGGCCCGCAACCTGGGCATGTGCCCTGACCGTGACTTGACTGGTAATCTCTTGGTGCATGGGTGGATGCTCAACCAGAGCCACACCAGCTGGGCGGCAAATCTACTATTGATAAAACATTACAAATGTTCCCACTAAAAAAGTACTAGATAAAGAATTCCTGCCTGCTACCACTGCTTTTGTTGACCAGTACACAAAAAGTATTAAATAATGCCAAAAGAAAAAAATAATAAGAAATACAGATGTTAGCAAGAGTAGGTTTACAGTTGTGAGTTTATTCTTGTATTATTTACTAATTATTGCATTATTTGTATTACAATCGTAAACCTACTTCTGTCCACCCCTGAATAGTGCTGATAAAGAGAAGACAAACTCTGTTAGCAGAAATTTTTGTGAGTCAATTTTAAACTAAGAATAGGGTGTCTAGATCCAATAAATATAAATGGCCTTCTATGCTTCCACAACTCCCAATTTAAAGATATAATGTTAAAAAATACAGAATAGTTTTATAATCTTGGATTAGAAAAGACCTTTCTAAACTAACATGATCCAAAATTCATTGGAAATTAATACTGGTCTTGATCACAATGAAATCAAAAGCTTCAGTACACCATGGCTCAAGTTGTAGAAACATTTGCAATATACCTTACATAAAGCATTACAACCAAGACTTTATGTACAGAAATTCAAAACTTTATCTGTAAAAAGTTGAAAACCACCGAACAACAATAAAAAAATCGCCGAGGGTAAGTATATCCAATTTACATAAGGAATCAAATGACAAATAACAATATCAAAATGTTAATCCCATGATTAATCAGGAAAATATAAATTAAAACAAATGCGCCTGGCTGGTGTGGCTCAGTGGTTGAGCGTTGACCCATGCACCAAGAGGTCACCGGTTAGATTCCTGGTCTGGGCACATGCCCAGGTTGTGGGCCCCATCCCCAGTGGGGGGCATGGAAGAGGCAGTTAGTGGATCTCTTGTCGATGTTTCTACCTCTCTCACTCTCCTTTCCTCTCTCTAAAATCAATAAAGAAAAAAAAAACAAAAAAAAACAAATGCAACATTAATTTCACCCATTAAGCTAACAAAATTTTAAAAAATGAATGTAGTGAAAACCTGCAGTATATATTCTTATATACTGTTTAGTTTATAAGCAAAGCCTTTTTGGGAAGCATTTGGTGGTATCTATCAATTTTTTTAAATGCATAAACGTTGATCCAACAATTTCACTTCTGAGACTCCAACCTAAAGTAAAAGTAATTCTTGCACAAGACATATGTACAAGGGTATTCACTTCCGAATCATCTCTGCAATATCAAGAAAACTGAACACCTAAATATTCTTCAATAAAGATACAATGAAATATCATGCAGTCATTAAATAAGATATTGCATATATAAAGGTCCATCATCCCAACAATGTAGCTATATTGTACAATTCAATGGGGGCAATGTACAATAAGGCTTATGTGTAGGAACTTAAATACACATATCTGATAATTAATGAAGAGGCCGCGTGACAAACTCTTAATGTGGAAGGAGGCTTAAAGAGAGACTGTCACATTTTCCCCTTCATTTCTGTGTTTATGCACGTTTCATAATATACTATAAGCAAATGATTTTTTTTTTGTATATGCCCCTAGCGGGAACGAACCGGGACTTTCTGGTCCGCAGACCAACGTTCCAACAGCTGAGCCAAACCGGCCAGGGCACTATAAGCAAACAATTAAAAACAAAACAAAACAAAACAGTGCTGTCTTGGCAGGTCAAAGGAACATACAGAGCATGTTTTTTTATGTAGTCAGATACTAGATACAAATCTAGGCGTTGGTAGCAAACTGTGACTGTTGGTAAACTTCCTTAGCGTTTTGTTTTGTTTTTTAATCCTCACCCAAGGATACTTTTCTGTTTCTTCAGATAAAGTGGGAGGAAAAGAGAGAAACATCAACTGAAGAGGGACACATCAACTGGCTGCCTCCTGCAGAACCCAGACCAGAGCCGGGAGGAACCGCCACCTAAGTACTGCCCTTGACTGGAATCCAAGCCGGGACTCATTGGTCCGTGGGCCCATGCTCTACCGCTGAGCCAAACTGGCCAGGGCAAACTTCCTTAACTTTCTCATCTTGCAATATGGAGTTAATCATAACCTGTTAAAGGTGAAGATGTAGAAAGAAGTAAAGCGTCGCTTACAAGAGCAGTAAAAGGTGGTTCCCTGTTCATACTCTTTAGGGAGAATGAGGAGGCCATAGGAGTGGAGGGAGCCAAAAACAAAATGAGTTAGTTCCCAAGTCCAGGAACCTGAAGTTCAAAAGATGGGAATGTGGGGTTCACCGGGACTTAGCCACATGCACCTCAAGCACAGGTGGAATCTTGGTTTCGCAAGCTTGCAGTGAGCGCCAGCCGGCGCCCTCCCCGATCGTCCCGCGGATTCCTCCGAAAACGCAGCAGCTGGGACAGCTGGGAGAAGGGCGCGCACGCACCTGTTGCCCGGAGCCCGAGACGCTGCAAGAGGAGTCGGTGCTCCTCCGCTTCCGGCGCTCGCTGCGCTCCACGCCGCTCCCAGCGCCAGCGACACTTCCAGAGAAGCTGGTGCTCCCGCAGCAGGTGATGTTCCCGCAGCCGCTGGTGCTCCCGCAGCCGCTGGTGCTTCCACTGCCGCTGCTGGCGAGGGTAGGGGCCAGGTCCGGCGCCGCGACTGCCGCGGCCGCCTCCTGACCGTTTCTTTTGCGCCGCTTCTCCCGGGAAGATTTCTTCCCCGTCATGATCCTTCAGCTGTAACCATCGGGAGGAAGCCCGCCTTCTCTGAGACCTAAACCTCACCGTTTGCGTCGCAGTTTGCCGTCACTTCCGGCCTCGTCGCAGAGGCGCCAGGCGTTCCTGGGGGCGGTGCCAGAACTCACGGCGCCGCCTCCACAAGTCGCGGAGGTGGGTTCCTTTGCGGCAGGGTTGCCAAGGTGTGCAGTCTGCTCGTTTTTTACCTCTACGAAGGCCTGGTGGTGGAGCCTTTCAACAGCTCTTTACCTATTGATACTGCTTTTTAATCTTTGTCAGTATACAAGTGCACAGGTAAAGGTGTAGTTTTTGATTCTCTAATTTCATTGCTTTTCCACTTTTTATAAGCCAAGTAGCATTGTAACAGAACTCAGGGACAATCTCATCACCTGGACACTTTTAAAAAAATATATAGCTTTTAGGGAATTACTCCTAATAGGGTCTTGTGCTTCGTTGTTTATCCCATTAACATTAATTTCTAGGTATGATGCCTTTTCACTTATAAAGGAACTTGGATCTAGTATTTCATTGTATTTTCTCAATTTAAGTAATATTCAAATACTGGTATTGACCTTGTTTTGTTGCCACGTTTCAAAATAATGAAACTATAAGCAGCTTAAGAAAAAAAAAAGTTGCATTTCCCAATGGTATTTTGTACTCAAGAAATTGTAATTTATGAAAGGATATCAACATCTTTTTCTTCTGTTTCATTGATTCCCTGGACGACTGAGCCAACTTAAAATGTCACCCAAACCCTGAAATCTTTTAAAAAATGTATGAAAATATTAATTTTTAACTTGCATTTTTGATTTGCAATGTTGAATATATACCCACTGGTTGAGTAACTATTTCCTCCTAATAAAATCATCTGGTAATGAGTTCAACAATTTACTGAAGTCAGTGCATCAACTTTATAAATGTACACTAATTATGTTGGTGAGATGGGAGAGGAGCAGGGATAAAATATTGTTGGCATATTAGTGTTCCTATCTTTTTTACCTTTTGAATGATCTTTGTACACAGCAGACACTTTTATTGTTGAAGATGTAGCCTTGTTATCTTTTAAAGGAAGGCTTCATAAGTACTTATGTGGCAGACATTTTGTTAGGCTTTTCTTTAAGTATCTTATTTTCTATTTTTAAAAATGTGTTGATTGACTTTTTTTAGAGAGGGAGAGAAACATCCATGTGAGAGAGAAATACCTATCAGCTGCCTCCTGCATGCCCTGCACTGGAGATTGGGCCCAAAACCCAGGCATGTGCCCTGACCAGTAATCCAACCAGGATCTCTGTCCATGGGACGATGCTCAATCCACTAAGCCACACCGGCCGGGCTCTTTTTTATTTTTTGAAGTTGTAGTGTATATATGATTAAACTGGGGCTTAGGTTAAGCAACGTACCTTAATTCATTAGCAAGTGGTGGAAATGTCATTGAAACGTATGCTTTATAACTCGAACACCAGTACTCTTTCACTGTATTACATTGCACCTCTGGTGGTCCTATTGAAAATTTTAAATGATGTAGAAATAAAAAAAATTTCTTAAATTTATTAGTTCCTTTGAGAACTCAAGAATAAAAAATTTTGGTTTGGAGGCTTGTTCAAGCTACCTTCTGCTCTATGTATCAAGCTTACATGTCTGCCAGTACCATAGCAGGAGTAAAGTGGCTACCACAAATTGTTATTTTTCTCCATATTGATATCGTTTTTGCAACATCATTTATCAAATTACATTTCTTCTCCATTGTCTTACTACTGACTTGTTATATAAAGATTTACCTGACCTATTTCTGTTTCTTCACCTGTAAATTAAGATTACTAGCAGTACATACTGCATAGAGATGAGGATAAGCTTAGAATGAGTATAAATTGCTTAATGCAAGCAATCTAGTTTACCTAAATTTGTTCTTTACAATGATATGTAACTGGTTTAAAGTCCAGTTGCAAAATATTTCATAAATATTAATGACTTTAAATTTGATAAAAAAAATATTGCCATTGGGTATTTTACTTTTCTGATTTATTACAATGTGTACAGGAACCACAAGATCAAGTTTTAAGTCCCAGGGCTTCACCTTTGGCCCAGGAGCAGTATCAGCCTACCTACTCTGTAGAAGGGTCTTTTCCTCTTTCAAGTTTCCATTACTTGCTAAATTCTGAAGACTATTTTCCTCCACAAGAGGCACAAAAAGTCAAGATCCTGCCTTTCTTGGTACACCCAGATAAAAGCACCCTAATTTTAAACATTAAACAAAACTTGATAATCACTGTGGCAAAAATTTGAAACAATGTCAGATAATAGAAAATGGGTATATCCATATATTTATTAAGGTGGAAGTAAGCATATTAATGTATGTCAGGTTTAAAAATCAGGTTATTTAACAATGTATATCATTCCTTTAAAAAAAAATAAAACATGTGTTTACATACCTATTGACATAGTGTTAAGAATGGTTCTCTGGGTGGTGTGATTACAAGCAATTTTTATTTGTGTATGTCTTATTCAAGGAGTATGTATTTTTATATTCAGAAAAAATATGAAGGAAATCATAAAAAACTATTAACTGAAAAAGAAAAACTATTTAAAATATTACTAAACCTCCATTAAACACTCACTTTCAAGTGGGATTGTTTTAGCTTTTGTTAAAGTGTACTTTGTAACTTTTCAATACAAACATGAAATACTGTATAATAAAAAGTTGTTATAAAAACTTATACACTAATAGAAAACAAAGTGTTTATAATATGTCACCCCTTACATTTTGAAAAGCAAACGCATATTCTTAACCAAGACTGTATGTCCAAAGGTAGCTGGTATTTCAGAGTATTGTAGATGAATTGTAACATGCTAATAAGAAAGCCATGTAGTGTAATGGAACCAGGCTGACCTGGGCTGAACTCTAACTTAGCAATTTAACTTTGATTTAAACTCCTAAATTTCAAATCAACATCAGTAAAGCACAGGTTCATAATAGAACCAGCAAATAAAAATAAAGTCTGGGTATACACCAGAAAGCTGCAATATAATACTTAGCAAAATACGTATCTCCTCTGTTTATATTTTACCCAGTCATTTTTGACATTCCAAATTTTTCCTTGGATTAATCTAGACAATGAGAATCTTTTCCACCCCTATTAGGGAATTGTTCTTCTCTGACTACAATTTGGCATTAAGCCAGGAAATCCATGGTTTTATATAACATAAATATTGAGAATACTGCAAACTAGTTTATGCCAAGTCTTCTTTATGAAAAGATCTTTCCAACATTTTGCAATAGGAAGTTACACTTATCTTCCTTGAAGTTTTTTTAAACACAGTAAATTATGTAATTAATAAGAGGGTTCCTTCTTTCTTAGTTGCTAAAATGTTCACAAATTTGTGACCCCCTCTCTGTGGAAGTAGAGCATGGTATGCACTTTTCTTCTATCATCATGATTCATCTCATTATTTTCTGAAAATACAGGGATAATGTCACAATTCATTTAGGGGGTTTGGGGACTTAAATATCAAAGTGGTTAGTACAGCACCAGGACCATGTTAGGACCTCAAAAATACTGATTTCACAGGACAGGCTCTGTCTGGGCTTGCAAATAACATAGCTTAATGTACTCTTGCTTTCACAGTTGCCTAAAATTTAATGCATTCCAAATTTCCTTTAAGGTCATGGAAATGACCAAAAATAAACAACTATTTTTCAAAACTGGAATGAATAATGAAGTTACCTCAAGTAGTGAAGGGCAAAGGAATCTGCACATAAGCCTCGAGTTAACTCGGGGCCTCATTTGTCTGAACTGATATACAACCTAATATAGCTTAGTAATTTGTTTTTACTTTAAAAATGAGCCATCAAACAAATTTACTTTCTATTTACAAATGACTTAAGTGAATAAATTATTTTATATCTTTTCAATATATGGAATCATTTACAACAAACTTAATTTTAAAAAATTTCTAATGTAGTTATCGTAAAACAATTACCTTGTATCAGTTCTATTGAAAGAACACAGCAATGAAAATGAGTAGAGCAGAAATTTGATAAAAGACAACCATCAACAATTAACAATTAGGGGTATATAATTAGTGAAAACAGATTATGCAAATAAATTTCATCTCCTGTGTGGCTTAAATACAGAAATTATGCCACTGTAGTTGGGTTGTTGATTATAGATCATTCTTAATTTGTTTCTCAACTCTTGAAAACCTACCCACATTATACAGGAAAATCTCACAGTTTATCAGTGCAAAAATTTTATTTCTCCTTTGTTCCTCCCTCCCCATTACAAGATCTGAAACTTACTTAATCCACAGCATTTTTTAAATGATCTGTTATCAGTAATGTAAAATGTGAAAAAAAAAAAAAAATCCACTAATCAATTTAAAATCTCAGCCCTCTTCCCCATTGTTACAGCAAATTTAGGATAAGTCTACAGCATTCACTTACTTTAGCTGGTTCTGATACTGAGGCATATTTTTTTATTTGAGAATCAACACCTAAAGACTTGGCTAATTGTACAGCATTTGAATCATCACTGATCAGTGTTCCAAGAGCCACAAGAAGTCTAAAAGTGGCTTCTAGATCTTGTACAACTTCGAAGATTGTGCTAATTACTGACAAACATTGAGCTTTCCCTTCAATGTTATGGTCTTTATAAAAACAAACAGAATAGTTCAGGGTCAAAGTAGCCAGAGCAATGTGAATGTTCTTATTGCTCCCTGATTTCAGTTCTATTGCATGGGACATCAGGGCTTCCCTCTGAGACATCATGAGCTTTTGTCCTGCCTGGCCAATAAAACAATTGCAAAAAGTCCTCAGAGCAAGCAGCTGGTTTGCAGGCCTTCCTTTAGGGTTCAGAAGACTGATGAGATGACTGCTGAACTGAGCCCCTTCCTTTTCATTGCAGAAATTCTCATTCACACTGGGATGTTTAATTGACAACCGAAGAATGTCAAGCGCAGGAAAGACGATATCTATTAAGAAAAAAATTAAATATTTATGAAAATTCAGAAAACTATGACTATCACTCATTTTATTAAGGATTTTATTTCCTGTTACAAATTAACACCATGCTCATGTCAGAAAATGTTAAAAATTGTGTGCTTGCTTTAAAATGCACATATTTCATTAGGCTGGTGTGGCTCAGTGGTTGAGTGTTGACCCATGCACCAAGAGGTCGCCGGTTTGATTTCCGGTTAGGAAACATGCCCAGGTTGTGGGCCCAATCTCCAGTGGGGGGCATACAGGAGGCGGCTGATAGATGTTCTCTGTCATCGATGTTTCTCTCTCTCTCTCCCTCTTACTTCCTTTCTCTATAAAATCAATAAAGAAAAAAAAATTAAATAAATAAATAAAATGCACATATTTCTGCCCTGCCAGTGTGACTCAGTGGTTGAGCGTCAACCCATGCATCAAGAAGTCACCGATTGGATTCCCAGTCAGGGCACATGCAGGAGGCAGCCAATCAATGTTCTCTCTTATCTATGTTTCCATCTCTCTTTGCCCCTCCCTTTTTTTCTCTCTAAAAATCAATAAAGAAAAATAAATTTTTTAAATAAAAGAAAATGCACATATTTCTAAAACTGTTAACTGACTTTTGATATTTGTAGAAACTGGACTAATTGCTACATAATCATATGTTCTTTAAAAATAATGTAACTCTCTTAGGTTATTAAACAGCTGACTCACAGTGAGTTTTCAATAAATCCTTGAGGAATGAATGGGATTGGGACCTTGATTTTTTTTGTTGTTGTTCAGATAGAATGAGGAGGGAGAGAGAGAGAAACATCGACGTGAAAGGGACACATCGAGCGGCTGCCCCCTGCACGACCCAACCAGGGCCGGGAACAAACCGAGGATCAGTTCCTGCTAAGGGCACATACCTCGGTTGCAGTTTGTCCCCGGCCCTGGTTGGGTCGTGTGGGTGGCAACCGCTCAATGTGTCCCTTTCATGTCGATGTTTCTCTCTCTTCCTCTCTCTCCCTCCCACTCTATCTGAACAAAAAATGGAAAAATGTCCTTGAGTGAGGATAAAAAAAGAAGAAAAAAAATTGTAAGCATTGCCCTAGCCAGTTTGGCTCAGCGTTTAGAGCGTCAGCCTATGGACCAATGAGTCATGGGTTCGATTCCGGTCAAGGGCACGTACCTTGGTTGCATTTCGTCCCCGGCCCTGGTAGGGTAGTGCAGGAGACAACCAGTCGATAAGGCAAATCACATTGATGTTTCTCTCTGTCTTCCCCTCCCTCCCTCCCACTCTAATGATAAATAGAAAATTATCCTTGAGGAGTGAAAAAAAAATCGTAAGTATCATTAAAAGTGAGGAAAATAGAAATTATGAGCCTTGTGATATAAAGGTAGTTTGCGGCATCATTCATAAACAGTATTCACCTTTAAAATAAACTAATGAACCAGAATCTATAGTCTAGTAGGACTATATAGAGCAACACATTAAATTAAATTAAGTGATCAGCCAAAATCACAATATGGGACATTTTGTAGGACAGATGATTTTTTTCTCCAATAAATCAGTAGCACACAAAAAATAATAGGGGAGAGGACATTTCTAGAATTAAAAATTAAATGTATGGTAACAAATGGAAACTAGAGTTGGTGGTGAGCACTCTATAGTGTATATAGTACCAAATTGAAATGTTGTACACCTGAACCTTATATAATGTTATAACAACAAAGTTATCTCGATAAAAAATAAATTTTTAAAGTAAAACTTATTTACTAAAAAAAAAAAAAGTAAAACTTATTTACTAAAAAACAAAACAAAACAAAACAAAAACAGAAAAAGTCCTATAGCAAATGTTTGTAGCCTAGGTTTAACCGGTCACAAAGAGTTTGCTGGGTGGCTTTCAGGGGATCTACAAATGCTCTGAAATGGAATATAAAATGGTACATGTATGTGGTCATTACATTACCTTCATATTTTCATAATACACGTAAGCAAAACAAAACTGTGAATTACAGTGGTGTAGTGAATCCTTTTTGTGAAGGTTTTTATAACATGAATTATAATTACTCAGGTTAACTTTTATTTAATCTAGAAACACCAAAAATATTGATAGAAAAGACGCACTTCCTGCATTCTAGTTATATTTTAGAGAGTGTTTCTGTACCTTCAGGCCAGTTAATAGCTTTCCACAAAATCTGAAGTTGCTGGGCTGTGGGCTTTTCTGAAGAACTATTACATATTAGAGATAATATTTTCTCAAGAAGTATCAGGTCATCCTCAGTTAACTTCTTTTCTTCAGGTGCAGTTCCATTAAGTTCCTTCAGTTTACCTAGAACCAAAACCAAACCTTCAAAATTCTCTAACTGTAATGAGCCCAATAAAATACATAAATGTCAGATTTATCTATAAGTACTCTACCATACACTATGAGGAAGTAAGATTTTTCATGGCAATTAATGAAGAATATAAAATAAGGATAAGGCTTGTGAACATTTTTAAGCTAAAAAGGTTACTGTGATAACTTTTATTTTACCCGTTATTTTCTAAAGTCTTCTGAAGATTTCTACTTTGAATAAGTTTTAAAGTGTATCACATTTGTAATCATTCAGAATGGTTGTCAAAGCAGTATTTGTCATATATAGCCACATACAAGTCAATTCTCTACTTTTTCAATGAGAAAATTTTTAACAACTTTTAGCCAACTTGTATCGATTTCTACTACTGTCAGTGAAATAGTCGAAAACTTAAATGTCTATTTACAATAATTTATTGATTTAGTTCCATCTGCACATTTGACATCACATTATCTTAAATATGTTTAATGAAAATAATTGACTTTTCCCACAATATTCGTATTTCATGAAACAATTTCTTTTAAACTCTTCACATGTATCTTTAATATCAGCATCCTTGTTGTCACTAATGCCTTGAGACATCTAACACTGTTTCCTCAAAAATCTTTATCTCAAAACATGAAAAAGCCCAAATTCCCATCACAAATGTTTTAAAAATATAAATTATCCAAATTTACAAATTTTTATCAGTCATAACTGGAAGATCAGACCTGTTTCACTGTTTGTGGCACTGAAAATTTTAACACTATCAGAATATAAAAAACAAAGTTTATTTAAGAAATGCAAAAGGAGACCTCTTGGATATATTGTACATTAGTTGAAAAATGTCTAGTTGTTATAGGTATATGTGTATATATATATACACACACACATTTCTTTATTGTTCAAAATGTACTTATGATTTTTATAAAGATAGTACAAAGGATAATTTTGACCAAACCCCCCCCCCCCAAAAAAAAACAACAACCCCGTCTTTATATTCAAGTGTGTATGTTATCTCAAATAATTCTCTGTTTTTAGCAAACAGAGCTAGCTGGTAATACTCTTGGTAAACCCCCCTTCCCAACCCCTCCCTCCCCAAAACCTGTCATTTTGTTTTGAGAAAAACAAATTAACAAAAAGAAAAATCAAAGTCATCTGAGAAGTTTCATTTTTAACGGGAAATTTAAACATCTTTATTTCTAAGGGCTACTAATTTTTAAAGCCAAGATTTTTATTTTTTTTAATGCTTTACTAATTTTTTTTTAAACATTAAGAGCTTAGGGGATGGGATTTACATTTTTCCCCTTTAGTTTTCTTTTCATTAAAGTCATTATAAAACATTTACCTTATATTTGCATAAGGCTTCTTACAAAGTATTAAGGGTCCATGATCAGATTGTGCACTTGTAGTCCACACAGTTGTATAATACCACAATAGAAGTCTATCATGGAAGCACCCAGTTCCCAGCTCATGTTAGGAGGAGAAATGGCGTTGAGTGCATGGCAAAGAGTCTGTGGATATATGAGAAAACTATTCAATTAAAACATACTTACCTAATATCTGTGTAGGGTTTGCTTGGTCAAAAGTGACAGCCTCTTTTTTAGGGAAATAAATATTCACCGTTTTAGATGTAGCTGATCGGTAGGCACTATTCCCTGTTACAGAATAGAAAATGTTAAAAATCATGAGTAGTCAAAAATGAAAATTTTTAATTGTATGACTTTGTTTTCACAATTAAGATATGAAACTACTCAGTGTATGCAATAACAAGCAACCTCAAAAAAAGGAAAAAAAGAAAAATCATTTTGTAAGATTTTATAAATTTTTTTATTAACTTATTAGTGTTCTAGATGTTTTCCTCCCCCCCATTGCTACCCATTATATAAAATATTTTATATAATATATTTTGGTTTTGAAATAGAAACTTAAATGTAAAACAAAGCTTTTCTATTTCATATTTTCTACTCATATTTTTAATAAATATTTAAGATAAAAAATACAAAACAATTATGAAATTTCCTATTTCCATGTACTCTAAGGTATATTAATCTTTCTTCTCATGTCTTTTATTGCTTATTCCAAATGATGTAGTAGGCATTGTCATTTTCTACATAATTTTTATAAATCACCCCAAGTTTTAAGTTCTTGAAAGTCAAGGGTTTTAGTCTTTTATATGATTTTACTTCTTAAGTCCATATTATAGTAAACTGATGATAAACAAAAAAATGACACAGGGTAAAAATTCATACACCGTGAATAAAACTACTTCAACTAAAGCATAATTTATTTCTAACATTTCAAATCTTTATTTATTTATTTTTAATCCTCACTCGAGGATATTTTTGCATTTATCTTCAGATAAGAGCGGGAGGGAGGGGGGGAAGAGAGAGAGAGAAACATTGACAGGTTGCCACTCACACGACCCCATCCGGGGCCGGGGACAAACTGCAACCGAGCTACGTGCCCTTAGCGGGAACCAAACCCAGGACTCTCTGGTCCGCGGGCCAATGCTCTAACTGCTGTGCCAAACCGGCCAGGGCTTAATTTATTTAATTTTGTTTCAATGTTAAATTAAGGTATTTTGCAAAAAGATGAATAAAACATTTTAATCTTCTGAATATATTACAAATACAAGTGGGGAAGATAGATAAAGTAAGTAATGAGATAAACACAAAATTAATTCTCATTACTTATAAGGCATAAAATATTTATGATCAAAGATGAGCTATACAGACACTGCCAGTACTCCTGGTTATTAGATTCTAGTTGTGGTAAGGAGGATGCAAATCAAATATTGCCCTAACAATTAAGTTTGATACAAAGTTCTCTGAAGGAAAAGTATAGGGTGCTATGAAAGAAATCTTGTAATAAAATAGGTGATCTATATAAATGTCCAGAAAAGTTTCACTGGTTTAATAAATATTATGTTGCAAAATTAAATAAAAAATGAGAAAAACAAAAACCTGTGGTCTAAGAAACAAAGAGTCCTAGTATTCCAAAAGAAAACAGAGTGTTCAAAGCTCCTGAAACAGAAAATAGCATGGCATGCTCAAAGAACTGACACAGGCCAGTATGGCCAGGCAGAAAAAAAAGGCAGAGGAATGGAATACATGGTGTGAGAGAATACCCAATGGGAAGCCATGAAAGGGGTTTAATCAAGGAAGGGACACACAGAAGTTAGACTCAATAATCTTAATCACTCTGTTCAATACTGCCAGACAACGGTACTTTTACAATGAAAAATTGCTTACGGAAACACACACCAAGTTCTTAAGTAGAGTTTATGTGTATTTATTATTACACTCAAAATACATGTCACACATATTCTCTTATAAAAAAATAAAGTACGGGAAAGTCTATGCCATGATATGTTAAACTTTCAAGAGGTAAACCACAAATTACCTCTGCTTTATTGGCATCCAATATAGAGGAAAGCATGCCTGCAAACATTCAACAGTGATGAAGAAGGAAGATGTGTTAGATCTAGACTAGATACTAAGAATAAAACAAATTAGTTGCTCAGGAGAAGGCCAAATATTCTAGGCCTGAATTATAAAAGCACATTCTTTTCAGAGTCCCCTAAAGAGAAGAATATGTAATATAGTGAATAACATTTTCAACATATTAAAAACAAACAAAGGAGAGACTAGAATAAACTCGATCTGGTGAGGGTACTGAGGAAATCAGCGACAACGCAACAGAAGTATAACAGCAGTGTTCAATCCTGGCCGCACATTAGAATCACACGGGAACATTAGGAAAACTGCCCTTGCCAAGGTCCCCACCCAGAGCAGTATTAGATCAAGTGAGCATCTCTAGGGATGAAGCTAAAGTCCTTTTTCTAATGCTGTCAGATGATTCTAATGTGCAGTAATGCCCATTCTGAGAGCGCTCTAAAAGCCAAGTCAAGAAGTTTTGTCTTAATTTACTATATAAAAAGTTCTCCAGCTAGGAAAAAAAGACACCAATTTTCTTAATATTTTATTAAATAAAAGTTTCAATAAACTTTAAAAATCTTTAAAAAAAAAGGGGGGGGGGGGGAATGAAAACTGTATACCTGTAAACGGATCAACTCCAGCCATGGTAGTTCCCATACTTGCAGACCCTGGCACATAACGACCTCCACCTAAAATGCAATAATATTCCTAGTAAGCAAAGGCAACTGCAAATTATAAAGTTCCAACTGCCCCTCCTTACATATAATAACTAACTTCATTATTAGTTATACTTTGAAATGGTACTTCTATATATAATAAATGAGGTATAAATTTAATACAGAAAAATGCTTAGAACAATGCCTGGCATACAATTTTAGTGCCCAATAAATATGAACTAGGAAAGTAATCCTCAAGTTAAAAAATAAACATTAGATGCCTTTTACATTACAATTACAGAAGTTTAATGATTAGGTAAGAGTTATGGACACTATGACAATAGCCCAGTCTCACATTTTAGATTATACTTGTAACTGTTGCACTGAAAATGGAAAGGAATATGAAAAACAAGTGTAGAGGATCAGCAAAATTTGGAGAAGTTCTGAGTCCTAGACCAGACTTTATGAGAAGAGATGAACTATCGTTTCAACCTCTGAATTTAATATCTAGGAGTTGATATAACCAGTTAACACATGCAGAAAAAGCAAGCAAAACTAAAATACAAAAAATTTACACAGATGTAAATAGAATTAAAATAATAAAGAAAACAAAACAAAACTATACCAGCTAGCATGCTAAGTATGTTATATGCATGTACTTACTTAAATATTAGATACCACTATTACTCGCAATACTTTATCAATGGAAAGCTGAATAGATTGCCCGAGGCATTATGAGGCATAGTGTAGTCCCATAATTTTCTAAATATGGTTCTGACATTTAGAGATAGTCACCTGTTCAATATGCAGATTCCCAGGGCACACCCATACTAACCTAGTGGTTCTCCAAAATGGCTTCACTTTAGAAACCTAGAGTGAACTGTTGTAACAACCTAACAGCAAACCACACACAATACTATTTAATTCAATCAGAATTGATGGATGAGGGATCAGAGCATGACTATTTTTAACCTCCTCACTAGCCTAGTGTGTCAAAATCTGTGGGTAAGAACTTGTGGTAAGTAATTTAAACAAGCATCCTAGATGATTCTAATTGACATTAGAGGTTTAACAAACACATAAATAAGGAAAAGAAAGAGACTGAAGATGGCCCTTAAGTTGTAAGACAGGTAGGCAAACCTTTTGGCCCCAGTGCTATTGGTAAAATTGGGGGAACAACATCAACAGTATTAATAGCTACATGTATTGAGGGCTTAAATATATTCCACCTAGAATACTTAACATGTATTATACAATTTTCTTTGCATAATATCTCAGTTTGGTAGATGCTGTTATCTTTTTTTTTTAATAATTGCGTTACTTTCCTAATTGCATAACTCTCTTGGGCATTTAGTATGCTATCTTGCATATCTCCATAATCACTGCATCTTCTGAGTTACTAACATTGTGCAACAGTGAGACATGCGCCAGTTATGACAGAGTTCTCTTGATTTTGTTGGTACTGTTTGAAGCTTGGTACGTTCTTTCTGTTCCAAAAAAGTCCTGCCAATGAAATTCGGTAACTCTGTTGTTCTAAGTTTCAGCACATACTGTGCTTGAATAGGCTGATAAGAAAAAGTCGTCATCTTATCTACTCTTCAGATCCTTACTACCTTTTCAAAAATTGCATTATGTCATGTCATCAAGACTTCCTAAACAGCTATTGTGCCATCACAACATTTAGCTTGACAGTTGGTTATTGTCATATACTAGTTATTAATGTACAGGATGCAGCTATTTGCATCTGGTCCACCAATTCATTCACAGGAGAAAGAACTCACTGAGAGCAACTCACAGCTTCATGACACTGAGCCATAGTTGTATATTGTTGGTCCAATCTATGATTTAGATAGACAGGATTGTATGTTGGCAAGGCCAAAGGATACCATAACTCTTTCCAAGTTTGATATATTGTCCAGGAACTGTGATGAAGATCCAACAATAGCATCATAAAATCTATCAAAAACTATTCTGAAAATAGAGACTTCTTCAGCCACATTAAAGTCCAAGTCTGGCCATTTCTCCAGTAGTGGTGATGCTGAGGCATGCATACCTTGGTAAAAAGTCACTTTGAAGAGACACACCAACACTTTCAGGGCTTCATGGAGGCAATTAATAACTTAGATTAGGAAGACTAATCCTGGGTAGCTGGTGAACTGTCTCCTTCCACACTAAGGCAAATATGCCTGGGCAAACTTCTTGACTGCACTGCTCCATCCAATATCAGGGACTCACATGGCTCCTCTGCTCATGATCGGTAGCATCTCGCCATTGATAGCACTCATGCTGTGTCTTGGTTGATGGGCTCCCCTATTATTTAATTTCACAGATAAAAAAAATAGGCTCAGACAGGTTAAGTAACTTGCTAACTTTTCACAGCAAGTAAGTGGGAGAGCCAAATTCTGAACCAAGATCTGTCTGGCTCTAAAAACCTGTGCTCCTAATGACTCTCCTGACAGGAAGGACCATTGAAGAAAATGATGAGTTATAATAATATGCTATTTAAAAATCATAAGGAAAATCATGAAAGTACTCCAGGAAAAAGCAAAAATTAGAAGTTAAAGGAGATCCATCAAAATTGGACATATGGATAAGGGAAGCATCAGTTATTGAATGATTATCTCCAAAATGTAAAGTCATATAATGTAAAATGCTATATATTTAATGAAGGTATTTTAACCAAAACTGCATCCCACCTGTAAAAGGATCTGCTGCAGGCAGTGTGTTAGAGGATCCTGATGAAGAGCCTGGAACATACCGACCACCACCTATGTATACAAACAAAGGAAAGACTGAAGTATGCCAACATTTTGAATTTCATAAGTAACACAATGCTTATATTGGAAGACTAAGCTTGGAGGAAAACAGAAGGCAAGGCTGTTACATGGGAGAATAACAGAAATTACAGTTACAAGTCTGAGAGTTGAAAAGACTAGTTAGAAACTAAAATTTCAGTGATTCTCCAAGCTTTGTTTTGTTAACTTTAATGCTTATTATATAATAAGCATTATATCTTAGCCCTTGCATTTAAATATTAAAATAACTAGGAATTCAAATATAAAAAGAGAAACTGCGGGTAGTCTCTGACCTAAATAATATATACATACAATCAGTTCCTGTTCCTATATAAATTCACTAGAATTCCTGCTGTTGCTTTTGCTATCAAAACCACGGGCATTAAATGTTAATCTTTCAGAGAACCCCTGGGTTCATGTGTCAAACAGTGCGTTCAGTGCTGGGGATCCAGCAGAGAACATGATTGCTTGTATCCACTGAAGCTTACAACCTACTGGAGAAAAGAATTACAAAGGGGATGAGTGCTACAAAGGAAACAGACTTCCATTTCCATCTCTACAAATGTGTGGTGTGTGTGCATATATGTTTCATTAGTACCTCTAGGGAAATAATCAGAGACATCTAAAAAAGATATATGTAAGGATACTTATAAAGTTAAGCTTCAGAAAAGCAAAAAAGACAAAGAACTGTTAGGTTTCCAGATCGAAGCAGCTGCTTTAATATCTGCTCCTGGTCCCACAAAACAGCTTTCACAATACTGCAATCATGTGTTCACTCTTTTGCACCATAGTCTGAAATTCCACCAATAGAAATGTCCAGATGATACCCCCTCCCACACCTTTTAATGTAAAGTGCAACTTTTGGGAAGGTTTGCATTATGTATAGTTCAGTAGTAAGTCAGCCTGATAATTCTGTTTAAGTCAACATGCAGATGAAATTAGCTTTATTATGTGAACTGGCAATGGAATTTTGATAGAGGATATAATTTAGGAACATGAAGTATCTGTCAGGGAAGAAGATGAAAGAAAGAGCTATAAAAGGACTTGAGACAAGAAGAAGATATTGGATCCTTATAAAACAAGAATAAACTGGTAGCATGTGAAAAATGGAGTCAAACCGACAACAGCAAAACATTAACAAAACAGTGCCAATTTCATAATTTTATTTAGAGCTTGCCCTATACCTAAGAAAAGAGGAAGCATTTTCTTTTCTCCTATACCATGGCTTTGGTCCTATACCATGGCTCCTATACCTGGGACCCAGAACTCAGGCTAATAATACTAGAATTATAATCTACTCCCTAGGAATAGGACTCAGACAAATACTACTAGGATTAGAATTTATGGACTGGCATGAGAACCTAATTCATTTGCAAAATTTTAGACACTGTATACTATGTTACAAACAAGTGACTTAAAATGAACAAATGAAATAGAAGTCACATATAAAATAAAAATACCCACAATTTAGTCCCAGATATGATGCACAATTAACCAAGTTAGCCTCATGTGAAAAAATAAGTTCTGTTCACTAAATTTTACCACAAAATATATTTTTAAAAAGAAGTTCCAATAGCCCTGGCCGGTTTGGCTCAGCGGTTACAGTGTCGACCTGCGGTCCAGAGAGACCCGGGTTCGGTTCCCGCTAAGGGTGCGTACCTTGGTTGCAGTTTGTCCCCGGCCCTGGTTGGTCAAGCGGGTGGCAGCCACTCAATGTGTCCTATTCACGTCGATGTTTCTCTCTCTTCCTCTCTCTCCCTCCCACTCTATCTAAACAGAAAATGGAAAAATATCCTTGGGTGAGGATGAAAAAAAAGAAGTACCAATATAAAGAAACACAGAAGTTTCTTTTCATTTCAAATGACTAAATTAAAGTTTCTTAATTTTATTTAGTTTACTATATAAACTTTAGTGTGGCTATATTTTCGTAACAGACAATTCATAATCATTTTTATAAATATAGAATTACTATATAATTTGAGGCTTACAAATATGAATGTGAAAAAAAACCTATTGTAGATTTTGGTTTTTAAACACATCAAAAATGAAAATCAATCAACATTGACAGAAGCACATGAAGACTTAATACAAACCCTAACTTACCTGTAAACGGATCTGAAAAACTGGTGTTCCCAAGTGCCAACATTTGACCTTTTGTGTTATCAATAATAAATTTTGCCACTTGATCCAAAAACATGGGATTCAAATCATTCTTCTGCAAGAAGTTGTATGCAGTTAACCAGGGATCATCACTGATATTATATGGCAATTTATAGGATGGTCCACCTTCATTGACATCAATTGAGAAAACATAATCAAATTCCTTTAACAGGAATATAAAAAAGGAGATAAATGATTACTAATTTATCTGTTCATATGCATTAATGACATATACAACAGAGATTTTATATGTTCTTCATTTTTAATAATTATAGTAAACTCTCTCCAACGTGCATAGTTAAAACCTTCCACTTGGCATATAATAATTAAGAGCAGCCACGCACATGTGCTGCAGGATTAATATTTCACTGGGGGTGGAGTGGGGGATAGATAATGACTACATTTTAATTCTAAGGCCAAAGGCAAATTTCCAATTGGTTGATCTGAAGGCCAAAAGTATTAGCAATTAGCATGCCCTGCTTACTAAGACATTCTGGCACTGTGAGTACGGCCTGCAGGGTCCCTCATGTCTTGCCAAGTTAAATACGGGCATGAAGCATTAGATAAAAGGTGGCACAGATGCTCCTAATCCAAAATGGTTGGAAACAGTTTATGCATGGTAACTACTTAAAGACAGATATGCTTAGTCTGTCTGTGAAATGCAGCTCTCCCCACAAGGAAAAAGATTCTTAAAAATACTAATTCAAGACAGGGAAAAGATAATTTCCCCAGAGAAATGTAGTTTTCAATGTTAAAACACCACAGAACATTTTATTAGCATGAAGAAAAAGGAAAAGAAAACCTTAACTTATCCAATGCTTTAAGATAAAGGTAATTAGAAAGCAGAAATCAACGTACTTTCCCTTCATATAAAACTTTTCCAGATGTTTGCTGATTAGCACCAGAAGAGCCAACAACATCACCAATTTTTATCCACCTCCCTTCACCAATACTCCACTGATAGGCTTCTACATTCTCTCCATCTCGGATTAGACGAGTCTGTCCTTCTCTAGAACCTAAATATAAAAATTGTGAGAATCAAAGACAGAATGGCACAATAAAATTCAAAAACATTTAGGTAGAAAATTGTAAACATTAAAATTTATACATAAAAGAGAAATCTGTATTTTGTTTTCACAGAAAATGTTATAAAGGAAAAGAAAACCTAAAAAGAATTATTTTTAATTCTCCTAGAAAGTGATATAAAAAATGATTAAAAGGAAACTTTATGAAAGAAAGGTTAAAACAATATGATTCTAAAAATTAGCCACCTCATCAAAATTAAAACAAGTTTTATTACTGAGTATCTTCTGACAACACTTTCATTTCAGTAAATGACTCTATTCTTTTAGCTGCTCAGGCCAAAAAGTGTTCAAGAGTCTGGTTTCTCTTTTTTGCAACCCCACAGGCAATCCTTTAGCAAATTCTATCAGCTCTATCTAGGAAACTACCTCACCATCTCCACTGATACCTATTGGTATAAGCCACCACAGTTTCTCATTTGGAATTATTCAACGGCTTCCCACTCCTATCCTGTGGACCCAGACAGTCTATATTTAACCCAGCAACCGCAGAAATTCTTTCTAAAGTTTAAGGAGCCCCTGACACATGTCAGCTGGAGACCCTTCAGTGACTTTCCAACTCACCTTCAATTAAAGCCTGTGTCACTGGAATGGTGTACAAGGCCAAACATAAACTGCCTTTACCATCGTCTCTGGCCTCACTTGCCAATACTCCTTCTCTCATCCCATCATCCTACTTCAGCAGCGGAGTCTTTGCACTAGCTATTTATTCTGCCTCCAACACTCTTCACATGGGTGCTGGCAAGATTTGCTCCCTTGCCTCCTTAAAAACTTTACCTGAATGTCACATTGTCAGCAAAACCTTCAATGGCAAAGACATCTAGCTGTCCTCCAGAGATTCATGGTCCTTCCTATTCCATAGAGTAGAGCTGTGGTTGTCTAGATAGAGACTACACTGTTCAGCACCCTTGCATCTTGTGTCCCTAGTTAACACTGAGTACACACTCAGTGGAATCTGGATGGGTGTGATACAGGCCAGTTCTAGGCATTTTCCGTCATCCTCTACCCTCCCTCTTACCCTGCTTGGTGGACGAAAGTCTATATCTAAGGAAACTTTGATGTCACATGTTGAAGATGGTGGTTTCCATCAGCCCAGGTCCCTGAATAACCCTGAAGAACAAAATCACTCTACAAACATGCTCCAGCACACCCTGCCATCAACTGAACTTTAAATGTGCAGTACACTTTTCTTGTTAAGCCGCTGACATCCCAGGGTTTATCTGTGTTTATCTGTACAGCAGCCAGTGCTATCCTTTCACACATTCCCTGACCACCGTATTTAAATGATAAAACAGCCACAACCCTGGCTTTGTTTCCCATAGAAGTAGAGTTACCATTATTTGGAATACTTATATATTTACTTTTTAATTATCTGTCTCCTCATATAGAATATAAATCTGTGAGAACAGAGGTTTTGTACCTTTTGTTATCTGCTCCACTTCCTAGAGCTTACAACAGTGCCTGGTACACATTAGGCACTTAGTAAATATTTATTGTATGTATATACATAGTGATAAAAGACTACATTTTATAAAGAATTGTAAAAATATCTAAACATGATATTAATGAAGTGGTTCTCAAAGTTTTGGTTTCCAGATCTCTTTATAGTCATAGAAGTTATTCAGAAGCCCAGAGAATATGAGAATATATTTACTTCATAGAAAACAATAGTAGGTTCATAACATATTAAATAAATATTTTAATGAAAAATAAGTTTAATTTTAGAAATCTAGTGAAAAGACTGGTATTATTTTCCATTTTTGTAAGACAGCTGAATTTACCACATCTGCCTGTGCACTCAATCTGTTGTTTTGGTTGAAGTATATAAAAAATAGTTGACAGAGAGACTAGTTTAATAGCCTTTTCAGGAAAATGTGGATATTGTACAAGTAGCAGGTCCTTAAAAATAGTTTAGAATCTGAAAACATCAGTGATTCTGTCACACTCTATTAAACTAAAATCTATTGGTCTATCTTACACATTGAACAGATCTTTTACCCATTCATGATTTTGTAACACCATGAACTGGCATTTGGAAAATATTGATGAAATGAGCTGTGTAGATCGCCCACATGTTTACACATTTTATTATTCAATATAAAAAAAAAAATCACGCTGCTAATAGTTCAACTGATATCATTAGAACAGTCTTGTTAGTAGTGGGAAACTATCAAGCTACTGGTGGCAGATACAGATTTTCTAAAATTTCAAACCACATTTGAAAGTTTGAATTTTATGTTTGGCAACAAATACCATCAGTTGTTTTCCTTAAAGTGACAGGCTCACTTTATTCATTTTTTTTTAAATGCCTGCCAAATACCCAAGCCTGAATAACTAATTGTTCTGTGAAATAAAAATGGCATTCCATGAAAAAGCGCATAGTTCAGCCTGCAACCTAAATGACTGCACAAGTACTTACTTACCCTGCAGACACCATGGTACATTAGTGTACTGTATGTGTAATTTACATTGTCATCCAGAACAGTTTAAAAAAATTACCAAAGGGGTGAAGATGTGATGAAATTAATGTTTAATGCTTCATTAAGGACATTTATGAGTGGCATTTTTTTTTAACTAGGACTGTGTGCCAGTGAAGAACACAACCACAGACAGTCTGATGCGACTGCCGTGACTGTGTATAAGGGAGCCAACAGCTTCACCCACCACTGCTGTTGCACAAGTACAAATGTTAATACTGTGTCATTTGACTTTTACACTAAACCCTTTTTCTTATGGCTTTAATTATTCTAAAATTTTGGAATAACTGGTAACAATTTTTACTACTAGATAACACTGAAAGATTTACCAGGTTCATTCAGGTGTTCCCTCCCAGGAAGCTGCTCTGCATTAATGTCCCCTAAATCACCAGTTTTGGAATCAATGGTTGCCTGAGAGAGTTCTTTTTCAAAAGCCTTGATTTCCTCAGCACTTGCCGTCCGATCCGCTGATGCTGTAAACACTCTAATAATACCATCACTAAAAGGAAAAACAAACTGATTTTAAGTCATTGCCATAGTGCATAATGTTATCACACCTGAATGATCTAAAACAAATATAACTTTATTTGTGAATATAAGAAACATTATTATGTAAGTATTGCTGAGTATAGCACTATGCTGATTTGAGCACACACTACCCTCTGTTATTTTCAAAAGCAAAGTACAGGGTGAAAAAAGATGAGGGGAGCCCTGGCATGGTAGCTCAGTTGATTACAGCGTCATCCCGATACGTCAAGATTGCAGGTTCAATCTCTACAAGGTCAGGGCACATACAAGAATCAACCAATCAATAATTGGAACAACAAATTGATGTTTCTCTCTCTCTTTCCCTTCCCTTTTCTCTCTAAAATCAATATATTTTTTAAGAAGTGCTATATTAAAAAAAAAAAAAAAAAAAAAAAAGACTAGGGAAAAATTACTGACAAAGTACAGGGAAATATATATTTAACATAATTTTCAATAAAGTGTATGCATTAAAAGACAACATTACATAGCTGTTACGGTATAAAGGGTAGTGGGTGGGTTTACTTTATCAAGGGCTCAAACACCCAACGTAAGACTTAGAAAATAGCAGGTGCTCAATATCTGTTCCTTAGGGAAACATGGAGTCTGTCTTTCATATGCCTTTAACTAGCAATGTAACCCCCGTCAAGAAAGAACAGCCTCACCTTTGGACTAGATGGCAGTCATAACCTCTATTCTCAGAAAAATGACTTCATTTCTATGACTTCTCAATTCTACATTTTGGGGTGAGGAGGCAAGTTAGAAACTTTCAACTGTATTAATTCTACCCAGTTCTAGAGAAAACTTTGTTTCTTACATAATCTTCCACTAATAGCAATTTACCCTTTAAATTTATTTTTCTTCAACTTTAAATATGCTAAAAAAACTAAGCCAACAAATCAACTGCTGGCCCAGGCAGAAAGGAAAACACTTCCACTCTATTAGACCCTCTATATATTATTGCTTTTTCTTCCTGCCTTCAATGCCAGAGTAGACTCTAATCCTTCATTCATCATTGTCTCTTATTTAACTTCTATCATTTTCAACCAAAATCTGATGTAAAAGTCACTAATCACATCTTTTAAACCAAATCCAAGAGCTTTCCCAACTTTCCATCCTAATCCCTCAGGTACTTGTTAACATTGATCACACTCTCCCTCCAAAATTTCTCCTTTACCATCTCTGAATTTCAATGTCTGGACCTACTGGCTTCTCTTTCTCCACCCACAGAAGTCACAAGATTCACTCTTCAGTTTTCTGCTCCTCCCCTACTATACTTCTTCCCTGAGAGAAAGGTGGTCCATCACTTGACTTTTCTGTGCAAATGTTTATTTTCAGTGTCAGTTCTCAAGGTCCAGTCCAACTGCCCGTGATGCACTGGCATGAGCATGGCTGATCACCACCTGGGCCTCACAAAGTCTGAAACCAGTCTTTACCTTCTGCACCAAACCAATTTTCCCACATCCCCATTTTTATTAATGCAGACTTCCAATCACCAAAAGTTTGAAGGGTTATTCTTTTCTTTCACCACATTTCTGATGATTTTCCTCTGCATTATCTCATTTTTGGTCTTTTATCCAGCTGCATTATGGGGCCAATATTTCACAATTTCACACCCTTAATACTGCAGTTGCTTTCTAATTACTTTCTTTCCCATCGTCACCACTCATTAAATAAAACCTACGTATTTAATAATACACAAGTTCTGTTTTAATCATATCACTCAGGAGTTATAACCCTTTAACCCCAAGCACTGAATCCAAAAAATGCCCAGCACTGATGTTCTCCATAACTAAGCCTACCCTTACCTATTATCCACTTACCCCAGCATCAATCCTCCACAAATCCTTCATTTCCTTAGACATCACTTTCATTCCCATGTTACACTTTTACGCATACTGTTTCTTTTGATAAAAATTCTCATTTCCCTTCTTACTCATTATCTTTCAATATCCCATTCAAATTTTTTCTTCTCTCGAAAGTTTTCCCACACTAAACTCAACCTTAGCTAACTTCTTTTGCATTCAGTTTCAACTGCACAACTTATAGTACAATACTGGTATAATATATCCTTTATCATTCATGGACCAGTTGTTATACCTACTACTACTCATTCAGTAACAGAACTGTGCATATGACCTCTCCAATTCACCTGAAATTCTTCATGGCTTATCTCTGTGCACTCTAATGCCTCCTAGACACATATTACTTAATGACTAGAAAATAAATACCTCGCACCAACCACAATGTCACCATTGTCTAGCACACAGCAGCACCATATAGACTGAGCTGGAAGTCGAACTGTTTGAGCACATTCCCCATTTTTCCAAATTCTCAGAGATCTGTCTTCTCCTGTTGTCACAAAATCTAAAATTGATAAATACAGAAAAAATTAGTTTAAATAAGTAAAATTAAGTACATCAATACATACCATTTTTCTAGATAGGCTGATTTTTTTTTTTACCCCAAAGTTTTTTAAAATTATAACTTTAAATTTTATATATTTGTCACCTCTGTACAACTTTAAAAAAACATTTTTATACAATTCATATCTTATATACTATATGTAATACCAATAAGTTATGCAAAACCTTTCCTCAGATACCTAAGAACTTTTTACAGCCATCAAATGTGAATTAATATAAAAATGATCATAAAATTTTCTTCTTTAGGAAATAAATACCTATAAAATAAAGTCACTAAATTATTTAAGTTACAGTTAGTAAAATGATTTAAATCATCAGCCCTCTTCCCCTCACCTTAAGAATGTGATGAAACAATGATCAATACAAAATTTTAAATACATGGTATAAGATAATCTTACCTTTACAATTTGGAAAGACAGATATGCTATAAATATAATTTGTATGTCCATAATATACTTCAAGACACTCTCCAGTGATTTGCCACCTTCTAATACTGGCATCATTTGCACAGGAAAGAAATTCTGTTTCACTCAAAATCGCCAAACCTCTTACACAGTCTTCGTGCCCTGTATTAAAAAAATAAAGTAAATCAATAAAATAGATCATTTGGTTAATGGCTCTATGTATTTCATTAACATTGTGAAACACATCAGTGAATAGTAAAACCTGATTTCAGGTTTGAGAAATTCTGTAGTAAAGCCTGGTGATCAAAATTTTTATTTTACATTTGGCTCTATCTTTCTTCTAACCAGTCTTAGGAAATAATTTACATTCATCCTATCTTCTCCAAAGTCCTTCTTAAAACCCTCTAGAAACAAAATTTCCATTTCCACCATTCTCCTTTTTCACCTGACAATTCAACTTTTCTTCCCCAATAACAAAAGTAATTCATAACATATACAATATTCATATATAACAGAATATTTAAATATAACAAAGAATAAATAAGTATCTTACCACACAATACTGAAATTTATATTTATAAAACACCAGAAAAAATTGAGAGAGAGAGAGAGACTTTGATTTGTTGCCTTCCATACATGCCCCACCTGGGTATCAAACTCACAACCCAGGTATATGTGCCCTGACCAGGAATTGAACCAGTAACCTTTCCATGCACAGGATGATGCTCAACCAGTTGAGCCACTCCAGCTGTACTCTCCTACCTCTTTAGACACCATCAAATTGTAACTTCTTCTACCCCTTTGATTCAATCAAAAAGCAAATATTAAGCCAAACACTGCTGATTTATCATTGGACACATTTCACAATTTACATAAATGCAAGCATTAAAATGATAAAATAAAAACCAATGATTACTGATTTTTTTAAAACTGCAAGGATTTATGGAATAAACTTCTTTCATACTGTTCTTAATTATGTAACTAGAGATATATTTGTTCAAACTCAATTTCTTTCAATATTAATTGAAGCCTTGTAGAAAATATCGCTACATTCTTTTTAAGGACAAAACATTCTCTGAAGCTTATGATCCAAACAAGAAGATCAGAAGTTAAAACCTTTCCATGCTCCATATTTGCTAATTTTGAGTAGCTATCACAGATTTAATAACTTGATACATACATATATTTATGTATGGAAAGCAAAAACAGATACATATTAAAACTCATTGTTCATTTTCCATCTACAGATAGTTTTGTCTTCACAAAGGAACTTCATTCAGTGTTATCCTTCACAGTGGCTATCAACTTTTAAAAAGTAAATAAAAGAAAAAAACCAACAAAAAAATTCACACCAAAAATCTAACTGCCCCACAGATATATCAGCAATCCTAATATTATACAGCAGATGCCTCAGTGTAGGAGTTATTTAATAGCTGAGGTTTAAAAAGACTACCCACCCAAACCACCACAAAAATAGAGCCTGAAATGTATTATTAAACAATGTGCTTCAATAAAAGCAGTTATTATGTTTTCCTCCATATACATGAAGCTAACAAGACTAATCCATCATCAATAAGGCTTATGCTTGGAAGTTTCAAACTGAACATGTTCAAAGGACAAGCAAACACATAACTGCATACCACAGATTACATATACATAATTCACAGAAGTACATACACATATTATAGCCTATCAGGTACCTATTTACTCATCCAATCTGTTTAACGAGAGGTCTCATTGTATCTTTTAAAAAGATATGTGGGTGCCCTGGCCTGTGTGGCTCAGTTGGCTAGAGCATCATCCTGTGCACCGAAAGGCTGCGGTTCGATTGCTTGTGTGGCTTTGATCCCTGGTGGGGGGGCATATGGAAGGGAACCAATCGATGTTTCCCTCTCTCTTTCTCCCTTTCCCTCCTCTCTAAAAAAATTAGTAAAACATATCCTTGAGTGAGAATTTAGAGAAAGGTATGTGGGTGATGTTTTTCAAATACCACTTTCAAGCTTCTCAATCTTTGAGAAAAAGGTCATCTTAGTAAATATGAAGTGATGAGATTATAAAAGTTGTCTACTCTGATATTACCTGTAAAAGTCCTCTCACATCTTCCAGCTTTCCACAGTTTAATAGTCTTGTCTGCTGATCCAGTTAACATTAAGCCCTGTTCAGGTAAGATCTTTACTGCCCATACTGCAGCTGTATGACCCTGTGAGTAAAATGGTATTAATTTAAGTTGCCACAGTCATTATACTTAATTCTTATCTAACATATTCACACAAAACTACTGTACCTGTAAGGTCATCATGCATTTGTCATTCAGCCAAACTTTAGCAGTGGTGTCCCATGAGCCACTAAGTAATGTCCCAAATTTTCCAGATGAAAGACTACAAACTAAAAGAAAAAAAGGCAGTAGTTAACATATTTTCACATAGAAAAATGTTCAGCCCTTTTAGTTATTAAAGCATTGCAATTTTAAAAACCCTGTTATAGTATATTAGCCAAATAAGGCTTAACTCAGTGGAGATAAATAAGTGATGTTTTGACAGCAGTCAAGACTCTGCTGTCAGACTGCCTGGATGCAAGTACTGGAGATGCCACTTATGAGCTGTCTAACCACGGGGATATTACTTAACCTTAGATTGCTCATCTGTAAAATGAGGGAACAGGATTAAGTGGATTGCATAATCCCTTCCAGTTCTAAGAAACTATCTAGGAAGACAGGGCAAACAATTTTGAAATACTGTTTATATAGGGTCACTTTAGTTAAAATGTCAAAAAACTAGAGCCAAACTAAATGTTTAAGATTGTCGGAATGGTTAAATAAATGTTTCATTGATATAAAATTACACAGGCTAAAAATTATAAGTGAAAAATTATCTAATAACATGGAAACAAAGACAGAATTCTTACTAAAAATGGCAGATTGTCTACAGTAATGCTATAAATGGTATTAATCTACAAGGACAAAGAAAACTGAAAATAACATTAACTGACTTAGCCAAATGGAGTAAGGTTATAATTTAAACACCCACAAGAGAAATTCAGAAGCAGTGACTGAGCCCACAACTATGAGACTCAGTACATAGTCCGTTGGTTCCATGAAGGACGGGGCTAAGAAGAGGACTTGAAAAATGAGACAAGTAATTCAAAGGCTGCATACAACATGATGAAACACTAGATCTCTCCTCTCAGCCTACAGTGTCAGGAAAGTGCATCCTCACCCACTGCAGGAGATGGAGATTTATTATCTGGTCACAGGAGCCAATTTAAAGAGGATTCCAATGGACAAATAAGGACAATTTGAGAATCTAGTAAAAGAGGTGAAAGAGGGGGGCAAAGAAAGCATTTAACCTATTTTCTCTCTATAAAATCCTCACACAGGAATCAAAGAGTTGATATGGAAAAGTTCTATATAGAAAAATGTTAGCTATTAAATTCAGAATAATGGTAGAATGAGAGTATAATCATTTTGCAAATATTAATGAAATACTGGATCTATGCAGTGATTATCAATAAATGCTAAACATCATTATATAAAAGGCTGATAGGAATTTTATAATAAATGGATGTACAACACTTGAACCCACTGATCAAATTGAACGTCACAAAAAGAGATATTATGTGCCTCTTGATGTGCTAAACAGAAAGTACACGATACTACCTGTAAAATGTTTGTGCCAAAAACTTGAATCTGTATCTGATCAAGCTTCTAGATCTAACGAACAGCTTACAACACATATAGGGGATTGAGGAACAAGTTAAATGGAACAAAAAGGCTCCAATCAGCAGAGTTCAGATTGTGAGAAATTCTACAGGTAAAATAAGCTGATTTCCAATAGAGAGGGGGTAAAAGGAAACAAACTGACAGATAGAAAGACATGTACACCTTATTTGGGTCACAATTTAAAGAAACTAAAAAAATTACGAGACAACTGGGTAAACATGAACATTCACTAGATATTTGACAATTAGAAATGAGATTCTGTTTTGTTTAGAGAGAGAGAGAGAGAATCCTTTTCCTATAGAGTGGTCAGCAAACTATGGCCTGTGGGTCACTTGTTTTTGTGCAGCACACAAAGAATGGTTTTTACTTTTTTGGTTGGCAAAAGATAATCAAAATACATTTCCTGATGTGAAAATTACATAACTTCAAAATTTCTGTGTCCATAAAGATTTATTGAAACACAGAAAGGCTTATTCATTTATTTGACAATGACTGCCTTTGAACAAAATGGCAGAGCTGAGTAGTTATAAAAGCAACATGGCCTACAAAGCCTGTAGTATTTACTATCTGCCTTTTCAGAAAAAGTTTGCCAACCCTATTTTAGAGCTGCATATTAAAGTGTTTACAAATGAAATAGTATACAGAAAATTATCTTAAATATAATGCAGAGGAAGAGGGGAAAGATGAAACAAGACAGAGCTTATGTTGATAATCCTTGGGTGTAAGAGATCATTTTTCCCAATTAGGTATGGTAATGTATAACTCAATATAAATAACTGCCTTTATTTTATTTTATTGTTTTTACAAGTATCCCCAACTGGCCTGTATTATGTTGTTGTTGTTGTTACAGATGTTTCTCCTTTTTTACCCCATTGACACCCTCCTCCCCATTCCCCCCACACCATCACCGGCTTTGTTGTCCACGTCCATTGGTTATGCGTACATGCATATAAGTTCTGTGGTTGATCTCTTCTGAGGGTTGTCAGTCTGTTCCCTACTTCCACATCTCTGGGTCTACTGATTCCTCAGTCTGTTATGTTCATTATATTCCACAAGTGAGATCATGTGGTATTTGTCTTTCTCTGTTTGGCTTGTTTCACTTAGGATAATACTCTCCAGGTCCCTCCATGTCATCTCAAAGGATAAGAGATCTTTCTTTCTTATAGCTGCATAGTACTCCATTGTGTATATGTACCACAGCTTATTTATCCATTCGTCTACTGATGGACACTTGGGCTGTTTCCAGATCTTAGCTATTGTAAATAGTGATGCTACAAATGTGGGGGTACATATATTCTTTCTGATTGGTGTTTCAGGCTTCTTAGGGTATATTCCTAGAATTAGGATCACTGGGTCAAACGGCAGTTCAATTTTTAATTTTTTATAACACTATACTTTTTTCCATACTGGCTGCACCAGTCTGCATTCTCACCAACAGTGTACCAGAGTTCCTTCTCCACACTCTCGCCAACACTTGTTAGATGACTTTTGATGGTGGCCATTCTGACAGGTGTGAAGTGAAACTTTGTTGTTTTCATTTGCATCTCTCTGATGGTTACTGATGTTGAGCATTTCTTCATGTATCTCTATGCCATTTGTATGTCCTGTTTGGAGAGATGTCTATTCAGCCCCTCTGCCCATTTTTTAAACTGGGTTCTTTGTCTTTCGTTTCTTGAGTTGTATGAGTATTCTATATATTTTAAAAATTAACCCCTTATCTGATGTATCATTGGCAATGATGTTCTCCCATACAGTGGGTTGCTTTTCCACTTTGATGGTTGTTTCTTTTGCTGTGCAGCAGCTTTTTAGTTTGATGTAGTCCCATGTGTTCATTTTTTCCTTTGTTTCTGTTGCCTTAGGTGAAGTATTAGTGAAAATTCTGCTGTGTACGTTGTCCGAAAATTTGTTGCCCACATTTCCTTCTAGAATTTTTATGGATTCATGGGTCACATTTGAGTCCTTTATTCATTTTGAGTTTATTTTTGTGTAGGGTGTAAGTTGATGGTCTAGTTTCTTTTTTTTTTCATGTGGCTGTCCAACATTCCCAACACCATTTATTAAAGAGGCTGTCTTTACTCCATTGTATGCTCCCGCGTCCTTTGTCAAATATTAATTGAGCATAATGTCTTGGATCCATTTATGGGTATTCTATTCTGTTCCACTGGTCTATATGCCTCTTCTTGTGCCAGTACCACGCTGCTTTGATTACAGTGGCTTTGTAGTATAACCTGATATTTGGTATTGTGATCCCACCTACCTTGATCTTTTTCAAGATTGCTAGGGCTATTCTGGGTCTTTTTTCGTTCCATATGAACTTTTGAAGTATTTGTTCTAGTTCTGTGAAATACGTCGTTGGTATTTTGATGGGGATTGCACCGAATCTATAGATTGCTTTGGTTAGTATGGACATTTTAGTGATGTTAATTCTTCCAATCCATGAACAAGGTATGTGCTTCCACTTTTTTATATCTTCCTCTATTTCTTTTTCCAATGTCCTGTAGTTTTCTACAAAGAGGCCCTTTACTTCTTTGGTTAAGTTTACTCCTAGGTATTTTAATTTTTTTGCAGCAACGGTAAATGGGATTGTTTTTTCAGTTTCTCATTCTGTGAGTTCATCATTGTATATAAGAATGCATTCGATTTCTTGACTTTAATTTTGTATCCTGCTACTTTGCCAAATTCATTTATTAAGTTTAGTAAATTTTTGATGGAGTCTGTAGGGTTTTCTATGTATAATATCATGTCATCTACAAATAATAACAGTTTAACTCCCTCCTTTCCAATTTGGATCCCTTTTATTTTTTCTTCCTGTCTGATTGCTGTGGCTAAGACTTCAAGTACAATGTTAAATAAGAGTGGCGAAAGTAGACATCCCTGTCTTGTTCCTGTTCTTAAGGAAAATGCTTTTAGTTACTGCCTATTGAGTATGATGTTGGCTGTATGTCTTTCATATATGGACTTTATTATATCGAGATATGATACCTCTATGCCCAGATTGCTGAGCATTTTTATCAGAAATGGGTGATGGATTTTGTCGAATGCTTTTTTTATCCTCACCTGAGGATATTTTTCCATTTTTTGTACAGATAGAGTGGGAGGGAGAGAGAGGAAGGGAGAGGGAGAGAGAAACATCGACGTGAAAGGGACACATCGAGTGGCTGCCACCCACACGACCAACCAGGGCCGGGGACAAACTGCAACCGAAGTACGTGCCCTTAGCGGGAACCGAACCTGGGTCTCTCCGGACCGCAGGCCGACGCTCTAACCGCTGAGCCAAACTGGCCAGGGCGTCGAATGCTTTTTGGCAACTATTGATATGATCATATGATTTTTACCTTTCATTTTGTATATGTGGTGTATCACATTTTTGATTTTCAAATACTGTACCAGCCTTGCATCCCTGGGATGAATCCCACTTGGTCATGGTGAATAATTTTTTGATGTACTGCTGGATTCGATTTCCTAGTATTTTGTTCAGGATTTTGGCGTTCATCAGGGATATTGGACTGTAGTTTTCTTTCTTTGTACTGTCTTTTTCTGGTTTTGGAATTAGAATTATGCTGGCCTCATAAAACGAGTTTGGAGGTCTTCCTTCTTCTTGAATTTTTTGACATGGTTTAAGGAGAACAGGTGTTAGTTCTTTTTTGAATGTTCCATAAAACTCCCC